TCTTATAGGGTGAGATCAGGAGGAGAAAGGAAACTTTTCAGGGTTTGAGGATGGCCTGAAGCTTCTGGACGCGTTGGGTGGTTTTGTAGGGTGAGAAAGGAAAGGGTTTTAGGGTTTTTGGGATGGCCTGAAGCTTCTGGATCTGTGGGTGGTTTTGTAGGGGGAGAAAGGTTTGTAGGGTTTTTGGGATGGTCTGAAGCTTCTGGACCTGTTGGGTGGTTTTGTAGGGCGAGAAAGGTTTGTAGGGTTTTTGGCATGGCTTGAAGCTTTTGGATCTGTGGGTGGTTTTTTAGGGGGAGAAAGGTTTGTAGGGTTTTTGGGATGGTCTGAAGCTTCGGGACCTGTTGGGTGGTTTTGTAGGGTGAGAAAGGAAAGGTTTGTAGGGTTTGAGGATGGCCTGAAGCTTCTGGATCTCTCGGTGGTTTTGTAGGGTGAGAAAGGAAAGGTTTGTAGGGTTTTTGGGATGGCTTGAAGATTCAGCATCTGTGGCTGGTTTTGTAGGGAGAGAAAGGTTTGTAGGGTTTTTGGGATGGCCTGAAGCTTCGGGACCTGCTGGGTGGTTTTGTAGGGTGAGATCAGGAGGAGAAAGGAAACTTTTCAGGGTTTGAGGATGGCCTGAAGCTTCTGGACCTGTTAGGTGGTTTTGTAGGGTGAGAAAGGAAATTTTTTAGGGTTTTGGGGATGGCTTGAAGCTTCTGGACCTGTAGGTATTCTTATAGGGTGAGATCAGGAGGAGAAAGGAAAGGATTTTAGGGTTTTTGGGATGGTCTGAAGCTTCTGGACCTGCTGGGTGGTTTTGTAGGGTGAGATCAGGAGGAGAAAGGAAACTTTTTAGGGTTTTTGGGAGGGCCTGAAGCTTGTGGACCTGCTGGGTGGTTTTGTAGGGTGAGAAAGGAAAGGTTTGTAGGGTTTTTGGGATGGCCTGAAGCTTCTGGACCTGTGGGTGGTTTTGTAGGGTGAGATCAGGAGGAGAAAGGAAACTTTTTAGGGTTTGAGGATGGCCTGAAGCTTCTGGATCTGTGGGGCGGTTTTGTAGGGGGAGAAAGGAAAGGGTTTTAGGGTTTATGGGATGGCCTGAAGCTTCTGGATCTGTGGGTAGTTTTGTAGGGGGAGAAAGGTTTGTAGGGTTTTGGGATGGCCTGAAGCTTCTGGACCTGTTGGGTGGATTTGTAGGGTGAGAAAGGAAAGGTTTGTAGGGTTTTTGGGATGGCCTGAAGCTTCTGGACCTGTTGGGTGGTTTTGTAGGGTGAGAAAGGAAAGGGTTTTAGGGTTTATGGGATGGCCTGAAGCTTTTGGATCTGTGGGTAGTTTTGTAGGGGGAGAAAGGTTTGTAGGGTTTTTGGGATGGCCTGAAGCTTTTGCATCTGTGCGTGTTTTTGTAGGGTGTGATGAGGAGGGGGAGAGAAAGGAACCTTTTTAGGGTTTTTGGGATGTCCTCACCTGCTCCTCTGTTTTGAGGTCACCGAAATCCTTGAGGAATTCAGCCTCGGAGGGGAACTGGGACGGCTCCAGGAAGTGGAGCAGGGAGAAGAGCTCCTCCACCGTGTTCTGCAGCGGCGTGCCGGTCAGCAGCACCTTGTGCTCCTGGGGGGGGGAAAAAGGGCATTTGGGAATCCTAAAACACCTCCCAGATCCCATAAAGACCTTCAGGACAATCTCATAAGGCATGGGATGAACCTAAATGTCCCAAAACTCGACAAAGATCCCATAGAAACCTTCAAACATTCTCCTGATGATTCCATCAATCCCAAACCCAAACCAGACCCCATAAACACTTCCAGGACAAACCTATAGGGAATAGGATGACCAGATGACCCCAAACACAACCCAGACCCCATAAACACCTTCAGGACAATCCCATAAGGCATGGGATGACCCTAAATGTCCCAAAACTCGACCAAGATCCCATAGAAACCTTCATTCTCCTGATGCTTCCATTGATCCTGAAAGTCCTCAGACCCAACCCAGACCCCATAAACACTTCCAGGACAAACCTATAGGGAATAGGATGACCAGATGACCCCAAACACAACCCAGACCCTATAAACTGCTCCAGGACAATCCTATAGGGAATGGGATGACCCTAAATGTCACAAAACACGACCAAGATCCCATAGAAGCCTTCATTCTCCCGATGATTCCATCAATCCCAAACCCAACCCAGACCCCATAAACACTTCCAGGACAATCCTATAGGGAACAGGATGACCAGATGACCCCAAACACAACCCAGACCCCATAAACTCCTCCAGGACAATCCTATAGGGCAGAGATGACCCCAAATGTCCAAAAACACGACCAAGATCCCATAGAAACCTTCAAACATTCTCCTGATGCTTCCATTGATCCCAAAAGTCCCCAAACCCAACCCAGACCCCATAAACACCTTCAGACAATCCTATAGGGAATGGGATGACCCAAATGTCCCCAAAACCAACCCAGACCCCATAAACTCCAGGACCATCCCACATGCCATGAGATGACCCCAAATGTCCCAAAACACAACCAAGATCCCATACAAACCTTTCAAACCTTCTCCAGATGCTTCTGTTGATCCCAAAAATCCTCAAACCCAATGAAAAGCCCCCCAGACGCACCCCGTTTCTGACCCCAACCAACTTATAGGGTTTTTCCTCACCCCACAACCACCCTATATGGGATTTCCTCCCCCCCACCACCCTATAGGGCCTTCCTGGACCCCAATCCCATACCAGATCCACGTGTTTGAGGCTGCTGCACTTCCTGACCTCACGCGTCCCATCGACATCCTCAGACCCCAACCAACTTATATGGGATTTCCTCACCCCACAACCACCCTATATGGGATTTCCTCACCCCCACCACCCTATAGGGTCTTCCTGGACCCCGACCCCATACCAGATCCACGTGTTTGAGGCTGTCCAGCAGCTTACAGTTGTGGATCTCGAGTCAATGCGTTTCGACATCCTCAGCCCAACACCAACTTATAGTGTTTTTCCTCACCCCACAACCACCCTGTATGGGATTTCCTCACCCCCA